TTCTGAGGTCGCAGTTGGTCATGTCCCATCCTAGTTGAGTCCATTGTTTCGTGCCGCTGGACACCGACCGACTGATGATCCTCGTGAGGTATGCTGCATGGTAGTACTTTTCAGGGCTGCCATCAGAAATGTTGGGGCCCCTGACACAGCTCAAGGTCTGGGCCCCCCGGTGCCTGCACCCGAGTCCGCCCAAAGTGCTGCCCTCCCCCCCCCGAATCCGCCCACAGGGATGCAGTGTCTGCAGGGCCGGTGCAAGGATTTTTGCCGCCCTAGGCAAAAGTAAAGTTTGCCGCCCCCCCCATGTGACATCACAATGCCCCACCAATATGATCTGCCATGTTAACTAACACCAGTGCTGCAGTGCCGCCGTGTTTACATTAAAAGGCCTGCAGGGACAGGCTAGACACCAGAACCACTACATTAAGCTGCAGTGGTTCTGGGGACTATAGTGTCCCTTTAATGTGAGGTAAATTAGAGATTAGTGCCACGAATAATATACTAGATTGCCTACTTACAACCAGATGAGGATGATGATGGGCTCTAGCTGCCGTCTGGCTCCACTGGTCTGGTGTACAACAGGCTCTCTGGAGGCGGTTTGTAACTGTGGTCACAAAAATCACTGTTCTGGGAGAACGGGAAGCAGCTCCATTTTTTTGAGGGCCCTTTACACAGCTCAAGGTCTGGGTCCCAGGGTCCACCTTCATGTTCCACCAATGATTTTGTTCACAGGGAGTGTAGTGTGTGTGTGGGGGATGTCCTGATGTGTGTAAGGAATGCATTGTGTGAATCTGTGTTTGTATGTGTAAGGGCTGCAAGATGAGTTTGTGTATGTATGGGATGCAGTGTGTGCGTCTGTAAGGGATGCATTGAGTGTGTGTAAGGGGTGCATTGTGTGTTGCTGTGTGTAAGGGATGCATTGCTTGTGTACGTGTGTCTGTGTGTAATGCATTGTGTGTTTTTCTGTGTGCAAGGGGTGCATTGTGTGTGATGAATGTCAGTCTCTCCCCCTCCCCCCCCTCCCTCCAATTTCTTTCTTCTCCCCCTCCCTCTCCAATTTCCTTCCTCTCCCCTCCAATTTCCTTCCTCTCCCCGTCACTCAAATTTCCTTCCTCTCCCTTGTCCCTCAAATTTTCCTCTCCCCAGTCCCTCAAATTTCCTTCCTCTCCCCTGTCCCTCAAATTTCCTTCCTCTCCCCGTCTTCAAATTTCCTTCCTCTCTGCCTTCCTCAAATTTCCTTCCTCTCCCCCTCCCTCCAATTTCCTTCCTCTCCCCCTCAAATTCCCCTTCCTCCCCCACAAATTCTCCTCTTCCTCTACCCCTCCCCCTCAAATTTCATTCTCCTGTCCCCTTCAAATTCCCCCTCATTCCTTCCCCCATATTTCATTCCTCCCCTCTCCCATTTCTCATTCCTCACTCCTCCCATTCTTTACCCTTCCTCTCCCTCCCTCAAATTTCCTTCCCTCTTCCTCCCATTTCTCTCTCATTCCTCCACCCCCTATAATTCCCATTTTATTCTCTCCCCTCGCCTCCTATTTCATTCCCTACCATTTTATTCTCCCTCTTCCTATTTTCATTCTCCTCGCCTCCTATTTTCATTCTTCCCTCCCATTGCATTCCCTACTATTTTATTTTCCTTCTCCTCCTTCCTATTTCTATTCCTCCTCCACCCTCCCATTTTATTTCCCTTCTCCCTCCCTCCCATTTCATTCCCCTCAATTTTCATTTCTCATATGGAGGCTGCTGAGGGAGATGTAAGTTTCAGTTTCGGTGTACTGATGCCGGAGCCGGAAGATGACGTCATCTTCCGGCTCCGGCATCAGTACGGTGCGCGAGGGAGCTGAAGAGGAAGCACATAGAGAGAGCTCCCTCACGCGCCCGCCCGCCGGGTGTCTGCAGGGCCAGCCTCTGGGGGCCCCCCAGGAGAAGAGGCTGGCCCTGTGGGTACATACCGGGTCGCAGGACCCCCTGCGACCCGGTATGTACCCACTGAATGTGGGGCCCGGACGACCTGAGCAGTCTGGGCCCCCCAGGACCGCCGGGCCCATGACAACCGTTGCGGTTGACATGCCCTGATGGCGGCCCTGGTACTTTTCAAAGTCTGGCAGAGTTTGGGGAGGATTAGTTGGGTGTGGGGACCTGCCCTTCCATATAAATCTGTGGACTTCTGTTTTTACTGCCATGAAGAGGCCAGTATCGGGACTGTTTGAAATATAAATAGTAGTTTGGGGAGCAGTGTCATTTTGATCGTGTTTACCCTTCCTAGCCATGATATATAGTAGGAGTTCCATTTGTGTAGTTCTTCTGTTGCCATTTTCAGTATTGGGAGGTAGTTGTGCATGTACAGATCCGCTGGGTTTGGCATAAGTCAGACCCCTAGGTATCTCATGCGGTGTTCGCACCAGCGGTATGGGTGTTGCCTCTGGATCGTTTGTCTAAACGGGTGATTGATATTCAGATTTAAGATCTCCGACTTTGAGTGGTTGATTTGGAGGTTCAAGAGTGACCATGAACAGAAGGTCATCTGTGTATACCAGGATTTTGTGGTGCGTGTTTCTGACCGTCAGTCCCTGTATGTCTGTGTTCCGTCGGATTTTGTTGATGAAAGGCTCTAGTGTCAGGGCAAAGAGTAAAGGCGAGAGTAGGCAGACTTGTCTGGTTCCGTTGTGGATCTGAAACGGATCCGATAGTGCACCATTGATCCTGATCTGTTGGGTTTGTGTATAGCGCCGTCACCCAGGTGAGGTATTTTGCCCCTATGCCGATGTGTCAGAGAGTTTCGAACATCAGTTCCCAGTCTACCCTATTGAACGCTTTTTCCGCATCTGTTGACAGGAGTAGTACCGGTGTCTTTCATGTTTTACGATGTTCAGGGCTCTGATTGTGTTGTCCCTCACCTCCCTTCCTGGGATGAACCCCGTTTGGTCTGGATGGATCGTTGCAGGTAGCAGCGGTGCCAGTCGGGTTGCGAGGATGCTCACCAGGAGTTTCAGGTCCGTGTTTAGCACGGATATTGGACGGATATTGGGCGGACAGTGTCACGTCTTTCCCCTCTTTCGGAAGCAGGGTCCGTTGGTATGGCCCCTTCTTGGATGGAGTTAAGGGCTATCAGGAGTTTTGGCATCATATCTTGTGCAAATGTTTTATAGTATAGGAGGGGGAGGCCGTCTTGCCCTGGTGCTCTGCCTGTTTTCGCTTTTTTGATGGCGTGTGCCACCTCCTCCGATGTTATGGGTGCCTCCAGTGCCTCCCGGTCATTTTCTGCTATTTCTGTCATGTTCGCCACGTCTAGGTAATTCCGGATGTTTTCGATTGTGTTAGTTCGTGGTGCTCCCGTGGCCTCCCGGCGGAGGTTGTACAGGTTCTGGTAGTAGGCTTGGAACACTGTGGATAACCGGTCTGGCACGTGTCTGATCCGCTGCTGTGTGTATTTGATTTTTGGGATGTAGAGTTGGGTTTTGTGTTGCTTGAGGAGATTCGCTAGCAGTCTCCCGCATTTGTCTCCGTGTTCGTGTATGATGAGTTTGTAGTGTTGGTATGACCGTTGTATCGAGCGGTTGAGGTGTGCGGTGAGTTGATCTCGTTTGGACACTAGATTCCTATATGTTGTCGCATCCAAGGTGCGCTTGTGTCTCGCCTCCAGGGTCGCTATGTCTCTGCTAAGGTCTAGGACCTCTTGTGCAGCTGTCGTCTTGTGGGATGCGCTTAGTGCGATGATTTGGCCGCATATCACTGTTTTATGTGCTTCCCAGCAGGTTAGTGGTGTCACTTCATCCGTTTAATTTTCCTCAAAGTATTTCTGGATGGAGTGTCTGATTGTATCTATCACTGTTGTGTCGGAGAGAAGCGATTCGTTCAGCTGCCATGACATTTGTCTGGGTTTATACAGTGGTGACTTCATCTGTAAGTGGATCTGGCAATGGTCTGACCAGGTCATTGGTAGGATCTCTGCGGCGGAGAGTAGGGTCAGGTTTTGATGCGGTGTGAGGAAGTAGTCGAGTCTTGTGTATGTTGAGTGGGTCATTGAGTAGAAGGTGTAGTCGCGGGCCGCTGGGTGTAGCGCCCGCCAGCAGTCTGCTAGTTGGTGGTGGTGGAGGAGACGTAGTGTGTTTGCGTATATGTTGTGTGGGGTTGTGCTTTGTGAGGATGAGGAGTCTTGGTCTGGGTGTAGTGCCAGGTCCCCTCCGATTATTAGGGTGCCTTCTGTGAACTTCATAAGGGTGTCGAGTACGCGCCCCAGGAATTGATGTTGTTTCGTGTTTGGGGCATACACGTTAGCAAACATGAATGTTTGGTCCAGAATTGTGCCTTTGGTGAATATGTACTGCCAATCTCTCTCAATATGTCGACCAGTACTTACAACGTCTAGTCTCCTGCCTCAAGTCATATCTTAGAGACTCCACCCAAGTCATCAATATTTTGCGGGATTTCACATGGGAAAGTGGGATGATTCTTGTTACGGCAGACGTCACTTTACTATACACAATAATCGAACATCTTCAAGGTTGTGAAGCTACACAGTTCTCCTTAGCGACATACTCAGAACTGAAAACCGATCAGATTGATTTTATTCTGCAATGCATTGCTTTAATCCTCACACATAATTATTTTTGGTATTATTACCTTTTTTATCTGCAAATCGAACGTACAGCCATGGGGACACGATTTGAGCCAAGTTACGCTAATCTATTTATGGGAAAATGGGAAGAAGAATTTTTATGGACCAACTGCACATTTGGCGCAAATCTGTCCCTGTGGCGTAGATACATCGATTATTTTTTTTTTTTATATGGAAGGGGGACTTGTGCGCAGTATTTCTTCCTTTAGCTGATAATTATCGAGACAGCATATGATATCCCTAGGTTGGTTGTCTGGTGCTGGCAGGGGTCTTAGTGCTCTGTGTGCCCTGACTAGGCCTATTCTGGGTATGTGCTGCCCCCCCAGTACCTGAGTGAAGATTTGCCTCAGCGCTTCTGGGATATTTTCAGATGGGCCTCCCTCACTCCGCGGACTCGCAGGTTCAGCCTGCGGCCGCGGTTGTCCAGGTCATCTATCCACGTGTTGAGGTAGGCCATGTCTGCTTTTTGGCCTGTAACCGCTGTATTTGTGTGCTCCAGGTCTGACCGGAGGGCCTTGGTCTCAGCCTCCGCCACTGTCATGTGGGCCTCTACGTTCGCCAGCTCTGCGCGGAGTTGGGCCACCTCCTCTCTTACCACGTGGCCCAGGTGGTCAGAGAGGGCCTCGAAATCCGATTTTGTGAGGAGGTTGAGTAGTATTTCCCTCCATCCTTCATCCGGCGGTGTCTGAGGCTATAATATAGGGGACTGGGCTGGTGAGTGCCTGGCCGGGGTGGATGGAATGGAGTCCGGTGCTT